AGTATGGCTGGGTGGGTAGGAGTTCAGTGAGGGCGGAAAAATTGTTTGACTGTTTCTCTAAGGAGGTTGACTTTTGACTTCAGAGTCTCTCTGGGGATTGAGTGAAAGGCTATCTGTGCCTGAGTGAGGGTATAACCAAGAGAGGGGCTGGTGCCTGAGGGGTGGTATGTTTGAGAATAAATGTGTGTGAGAGACAGGACGTGTTTAACTGGGGTGTCTGTGTGACTCAGAGTATGCACAGCCGAGTGGTGTCTGTGTGACTGAGCAGGTGTTGGTGTGTACCTGGGAGAAAGTGTGTGGGGCTATGTGAGCTCTGAGCATACAGAAGACGTCTGAGAGAACACAGTGTGTCCCTTAAGGTTCTGGTGTCCAGAGGCCAGTCCCTGGAATGAGAGGAACTTTCTGGGACCCAGGCTGGGTGGTAGGTACTTGCCTGGCCCAGAACCTCAGCCTGGTCCTGGGGGCTCCAGAGGCGGCTGGCACTGTGTTTCCAGATGGGAAGGGTACCTCCTTGGGGTGAAAGAGCTCTTTGCGGGGCTAGCACGACTGGTGGTTGTGGTTGGAAGGAGGTGGGTTGGCTTCTGGAGCCCCAGGGAAGTGGGCTGGCTTGGAAGAGGCCGTGCCTTGGTCCAGTGTGGGTCATGGGGCGAGGTGAACTGCTGGGAGGGTGGGGGTAAGGGGGGCAAAGGAGGAGGTGTTTAGGGTGGAGACAGGGGCCGGGCTCAGTGCTGCGCACACTGCACACAGCACTGCCTTGGCCTGCACTTGTCATGGTGGCAGACTGAGGGCCAGAGCTGGACCCAGTGACTTAGCTGGATTCCCAGGAGTTTCACTCTTCTCTCTAATATATGGAGCCATGGACTGTCAGAGCTTAACCTCAGCCTCCTCACTCTGTTGATAAGGAACCCGAGGCCAGAGGGTGTGGCTGGCCCAAAGTGACCAGCCAGGGCTGGGCCGGCCCCCTCCTAGGCCTCTGGTGGCTTCTGGCCACAGAGGGGTCTCAGTGAGACCCCAATTCCCCTCACTTCTGCCTCCTGGCTCTTCACCCTCTGGCCTTTGTATCTACCTCTCACCTTTCCTCCTCTCTGTCATCTCCCTGGAACCTTTCCTCCTTGCCCCACTTCTACTCCTGACCCGGGCTCAGGACTTCTGAGCTGGCTTCCTCCCCGCATCTCCCCCGCCCCGCCCCGCCCCGCCCCGCCCCGCCCTCTCCATCCCGCTCCCCTCTCCTCTCCTCTTCTCTCCTCTCCTCCATCACTTCCTCTTCCCCTCCTCCTCTCCTTTGTCCCTCCCTCCCGGGCTCCCTTCCCCCGCCGCCAGTGGCCGGCCCGCCCCTCCCCGGGCATTGGTGGCTGCTCGCTGCCTCGCCGCTCGCTGCTCCGAGCCCGGAGCCGGCGGCGCGGGAGGTCGGCCCGCCTCTTCAAAGGCCCGGGGCGGGCCGGGGACCTGGAAGGCTCGAGCTAGCAGGGGCGAGCGGTCCGGAGGTCCGGATTCGGTGGTGAGTCCTCAGCCCCCGGCGGCCGCAGCCCCGGCAGCCGGGCGCGGAGCAGCTCGGGCTGGGAGGGGCGTGGAGGGGGTGGGGAAGCGTGCGAGGAGGGGGATCGGGTCCCTGGCCCCGCTTGGGAGCTTGAGGCCGTGAGGCTCGATCGTGTGTGTGAGCCCTGAACATACCTAAGTGGGGCGCCTGGGCTCGGGGCCACTCCTCAGCGGGGCAGACTTCATTTTCCCCAGCACTAGATGGTCCCCTCCGTGGGACCTGCCTCTCTACGGGGTTGAGGGGTCCTGGTTAGGATGAGCGGAGCCTGTGTTACGGCTCAGAGGGGTCTCGGATGGAAGGAGCCAAGGCCCCTCCTCCCATCTTCCCTTCGCCCCAGCCGCCTTTTGGCCAGTTCATTCTATTTGTGTGGCCAGCAGGGCAGTGACTGTCGCTCTGAGTGTGAGGCTGTCTGCCTATATCTGTGTGTTTCTGAGTGTGTATGTGTGTGAGCCGGGATGAGAGTGTGTTTGTGTGTAGTGTTTCCCCCCTGCATCTCTCAGAGATAGGATCCACCCTCTCTTTTGCCCCGTTTGTTTTTTTCCCTCCAGATGTGCACCCACCTGCACACAGCTGGGCCCTGAGCCCCTTTGGGGAGGAGGGGCACAAACACAACTTTGCCTGGATGAGAAGGGGTTCTTGGGTTTCGTGAGTGGGCTGACCTTTGGAGGTGTGGGGCAGGAGTGGGCAGAGAGGAGGTTTCTTCCCAGAAATAGGCTTTCCAGGCCCCTGGGGGCATGGGACCAGAGTTGGGGCCATGCCTGGGGCCCCTGAGTGCAAATAGAAAGTTGATTTGGGCAGGAGCTGAGCTGCAGTCAGTCCCGCTGCCCTCCTGCCCGCTCTATTAATACAGACCCAGCTCTGCTGCCTGGTATCACCTATTTATAGCCCCAGAGGCAGCATAGCCACACCCCTTGTATAGAGGAGGGTGAGGGGCAGGGAACTCACAGCTACAGGGGCCAGCGCCGGGGTCCGTAGGTGCCCACAGCCTCCTTGGGTGGGCCTGGCACTGATGGGCTGGAATCCACCCAGACTCCCCACCTCCTTCCCAGTCTGGACTATGTGGTCAGGCTCCTGATCTGCCCCGCCCCCCTCTCCCTGCCCCCCATCAACCTAGGGTTGAGTGGGTCTGTCTAGACCCTGCAAACTCATCATTAATTAGCTTGTTAAATGGCTGAAAGGAGGGGGCGGGGAATGCAGGGTTCTTTTCTGAAACAGCTGTGGCTGTAATTAGGTGGACAGTGTGGCTGGCTCTTATTTATTCCGGTTATGAGTACTCTGTGATCAGCGCCTCTGATTGGTGGCTTGGCAGGGAAGGCTCCCTCCTTTCCTAACCACCCATCAGCCTTTAGAATTGTTGGTGCCTGCCTGGGAGGGCCCGTGGGTTTGCCAGAGAAGTGGGTGGTTTTGTCTACTATGTTGTCTGCTATGGGCTTCTCGGCCTGCTGGCCCCCGATCCGTGGCAATGCCCAGGGCCCCCCAACAGGCTCCTGAGCACCTCAGTGGGCGGCCAAGGTACCCACGTGGCCTGGGATGCCCCATGCCCTTGTGGCCTGCCTGAGCTGAACTGTCTCAGCGTCCAGGAATGTAGACTTCCCTGCCAGTCTTAGCTCAGACTGGCATGAAGCTTGGGGTGCCAAGTGGCACCAGATAGGGTAGAGAGGAGCCTGGGGCCAGGGGCCAAGGGCATGGACAAATTGGAAGAGTGGGTGGTAGAGCACCAGGTCTCTGGCTTCTCCCAGCAGAGCATCTTTGCAGAAGCCCTCTAGCACCTGGTGTGGCCGGGAGGAGGAGTTCTGCCAGACAGGCTTAGGCGCGGTGGGCACACCTGTCACCGTGCACACTCCCGGTGCCCCTGGCTACATTTTCTGGCTCCCACATGCCCTCCCCCCTCCATGCACTCACACTTCATGGGCAGGACTGGGCTTGTGTCTACTGCCTAGGAATGTGCTTGGTTGAGGCTGGGCCCACTGGCCTAGGCTTGGCTGCATTCCAGGGGAGACCAAGGAGCAGGACGATGTCAGGCCAGAGAGCGCTTTGACAGAAGGAGAAGGAGGGTAGCAGTCGCTCCCGGCTGTCAGAAAGGGTGGCAGCTCTCTTAAGGAAGCGAATTCTGGTCCCCGCAGGGGCATCTGCCTGATCAATGGTGTTTCCCTGTCCCCTATCTCAGAGCTTTTTTGTGATCCTGGAAGTTGCTGCCTCTCAAACTGACCCTTCCACCCAAGTGGCAGATAGATGGATCTTGATGGGAGGCACATGGGTGTCTGTGTTCTCTGGAGAGCCTTCTCCACTTACAGAGCACTGGCATACACTGTCTTTCTAACTCTGCAAGGTCAGTGGTTTTGTCCTCATTTTTCTGATGAGAGAACTAGACTCAAGGAGGTGAAGTGACTACCTGAAGATCTCACAGGTAGTCTGAAGGAAATTTAGGACTAGGACTTACAAACCAGAGCTCTTTCCCCTCGGCCCTGTGCTGTGGAGCTGGGCTGGGGCCTCCGGCACGGGGGGAGTCAGATTTGGAGCAAGTGGATGCCGCTGAGTGCAGGTGGGGATGACTCTTCGGAGCCTGGGCTGAGCCTGCTGGTGCTGCGGGGTGAGGGCTGCCTCAGCTCTGCCTGCCCTTCCGAGTGTTTGGTTTCTCTGCAGGCTGCATGTTGTGCCTGGGTCAGTCCACCTTCCTCCGCTTTAACCACCCGGCTGAAGCCAAGTGGATGAAGAGCATGATTCCGGCAGGGGGCCGGGCCCCTGGACCCCCCTACAGTCCTGGCCCGGGTAGGTACCCACTTGGGGCACGTGGCTAGTTTGGTGGCACCCCGTGGACAGTCCTCCTCCTTGCCCACTCCAGCCGCACTTGCAGTGTCAGGGCAGGACAATACCCGTGATCTGGGCTTGCTGCCACCTGCCATGGGCCACTGGTGGAGAGTGCCAGGCAGTCTGACCACTGGAAGAGATCCAAGAAGTGCTGCTTGGCTGGAATTGGGGAATCATGTGCCTGAGGGATGGGGGGCTATGCCGGCCTGTGTCCCACTGCCCTGGAAGGTGCCACCTTGGTGTCTGGGACCTTGACCCTCTTATGTCACTACCAGGGAGCCTCACCCTTGAGGGTGGCCTGTGGGGGCAGAAGGAAGCATCCAGTTGAGCTGCTGTAAGCTCTGGGGTGGGGAGGGGGGGTCCCACCTGCTTGTGATCATGTCTTTGGGCCCTGCCCCACCCCCAGGCCATGCCATGCCAGCTGGTGTCTCAGTGGAGCAGCTGCAGTTTGTGTGTGAATTATTGATCCCCAGAGGAGAGTTGGGTGATTGTCCCAGGGAGCCAGCACAGCCCCCCTCAGCCCAGCTGCCTAGGGGGCTGGGTGCAGATCAGGAGGCTGCCTATAGGCCTGCCACCCCAGACTTTGCACGGGTATTCAGATGGCTGTAGGATGACAGGTGTCAGCGTGCTACTGGGACAGGTGGACATGTGTGTCAGGTGCACCTAGCAGGGTGGCATCAGTGGCTTCAATGGATCATTTGGGGATCTGAGGAAAGATGGGTGGTCCCTGGGATCACCAGTATCCACGGCAACCCCTCTGCCTTTGGTCCCACACAGTCCCCATAATTTTGGATCCAGACTCAGTCTTGCAAAGCCTTTTTCTTCTCCTTTCTAGGCCCTTGGAGGCTCAGAAGCTTGGGTTCCCAGTCCACTCCCTGGGTAGCTTTACCCTGCTCCCACCCTGGCCTTGTCATGCCACTCCCTCAGCTGTTTGGGGCAGTGGTTTCAGAGACTCCTGGTTGGTTGACAAGGGCTGGGGCAGGGCAAAGGCAGGCTCTTGCTGGCATGGCTTAACGGGCTAATTGGAGGCACTGAGCTGCACCTAGTTGCTGCCCAGCCTGGCTTCCAGGAACTGGCCTTTAGGGCCAGGCCCCTCCCTTGCCTCCGACTGGAGAAAGTGGTGCTGCACACAGCCCTCGCCCAGCCCTGGAGGATTTGTGTGTGTGTTTTCCTGGGTCTCGGCTGCTGTGTTGGGAGGCCCTTATGTCCTATTGGACTGGGACCACGTCCTCCCCGGAACTTCTGGCCCGCTCCCCAGCGTGCCCCCATGCCCTTTGCAGAAGGTCCACCTGCCCTTCCTGAAGTGGAGCTTGAGGAGGTTGAAGAAACCAAGGCAGGGAGGAACCTAGTCTTAGGGTGAGTGCCTGGCCGTGTTGCCGACTCTGTCCTAAGTCATAAAATGTCAGAGCCAGGAGAGCCCTCTTCCTTCACAGACGGCAAAACCAAGGGCAAGTGACTTGGGAAAGTTGCACAGCAGGTTAGTGGCGGAGCTGGCGCTGGGACCCAGATCTCCTGGCTGCTTCTCCAGAGCCTTTCCAGCCCTGTTCTGCTGGCAGGACATGGGAGTGCTCGCTCTTGTGCATATGCAGCTCCCTAGGGCCTAGGAGATGCAGACCAGGTCCTGAGGCCTCTTTGCGTTTTCCTTCAGCAGAATCACAAAGCTTGGTGAACGGGAACCACACCCCACAGCCTGCAACCCAGGGACCCTCAGCCTGTGGCAGCCACAGTTCCCTGGTGAGCTCTATTGAGAAGGACCTGCAGGAGATCATGGACTCACTGGTGCTCGAGGAGCCTGGAGCTGCTGGCAAGAAGCCTGCCGCCACTTCCCCACTGTCACCGATGGCCAATGGTGGCCGCTACCTGCTGTCCCCCCCGACCAGCCCCGGTGCCATGTCCGTGGGCTCCAGCTATGAGAACACCTCTCCAGCCTTCTCTCCGCTCTCCTCACCAGCCAGCAGCGGAAGCTGTGCCAGCCACTCCCCCAGTGGGCAGGAACCAGCCCCTTCCATGCCCCCCCTGGTGCCTGCCCGGTCCTCTAGCTACCATTTAGCCCTGCAGCCCTCACAGTCCCGACCCAGTGGTGCTCGCCCCTCTGAGAGCCCCCGGCTGGGCAGGAAGGGGGGTCACGAGAGGCCGCCCAGCCCTGGCCTCCGAGGTCTGCGGACAGACAGCCCTGCAGCCACTGTCTTGGCAGTGGCCTGCAGAGCCGCCGAGAGCCCCCGGGTGGGGGGGCAGTTGCCCCTGGTGGCGATTGGCCTGAGTGAATACCAGGCTTCCGGTGCCCGTGGCCAACCCACCAGCATTCCTGGCAGCCCCAAGTTCCAGCCACCAGTCCCTGCTCCTCGAAACAAGATTGGCACGCTCCAGGACCGCCCTCCCAGCCCTTTCCGGGAGCTGCCGGGCACTGAGCGGGTGTTGACAACCAGCCCCTCACGCCAGCTGGTGGGCCGAACATTTTCCGATGGGTCCGCTACCCGCACCCTGCAACCTCCCGAGAGCCCCCGCCTAGGCCGGCGGGGCCTGGACAGTATGAGAGAACTGCCTCCCTTGAGCCCATCTCTGTCCCGAAGGGCTCTCTCCCCCATGCCCGCGCGGACCACCCCCGATCCCAAACTAAACAGGGAAGTGGCAGAGAGTCCCCGACCCCGGCGCTGGGCAGCCCATGGGGCTTCACCAGAGGACTTCTCCGTGACACTGGGGGCGCGGGGCCGTAGGACACGGAGCCCCTCACCCACACTAGGGGAGTCCCTGGCACCCCGCAAGGGCAGCTTCAGTGGCAGGCTGAGCCCGGCTTATAGTCTGGGCTCGTTGACTGGGGCTTCACCCCACCAGAGCCCCCGTGCCCAGAGGAAGCTCTCCAGCGGGGACTTGCGGGTGCCTGTCACTCGGGAGCGGAAAAATAGCATCACAGAGATCAGTGACAACGAGGATGACCTCCTGGAGTACCACCGGCGGCAGCGCCAAGAGCGGCTTCGGGAGCAGGAGATGGAGAGGCTGGTGAGCGGATGCCAGGGAGGCTGCTGGCATCCATGACAGGGGCTCTGCCAGGGTGTGGGCGGGCCAGCTGGCAGGGAGGGAGGGGCCCGTGGACAGGGCCTGGGCTTCCCAAGCTTCTTCACTTCCGGGATACACCATAGTGACCAGTATCTCAAGGCTCTGGTGCCCTGGACAAGAACTTTCTTTGAAGTCTCTAAGGCCTTATTTCAAATTCATGCTCACTTTGCATTTATTCCATAACACAGTGTTTGTTTTCATGTATAAAAGAAGTTTCACATTATGTACCTGAACACAATGAAGCTCTAGGAAAACATACCACATTTATGATGAAGCTTTGTACGTCTCAGTTTGAGAAGCAGGTCTTAGTGATTAGAAGGCTGAAGCCCAGAGAGGGGAATGGGTTTGTGCAAGGTCACACAGCAAGTTCTGGCAGAGCTGGAATTGGAACCCACGTCTCCTGTCTCTCCAAGGCTTATTCTTTAGAAAAGCCTCTGGTCCTTCTTTCTTGCTTCTCTTTGGCCTCTATAAATGGGTGGGAGCTCCTCATCCTGGCCCATGCTGGATTGTCTGGAAATGGGGGTGGCAGGGGGAGAAGAAGAGAACAGGATGGGCAGCCCCTGGCTGATCCAGGTCAGTCTGTGTGATAGTAATTATGTGTGCTGGTGTGTGTGTGTGTGTGTGCATGCGCACACGTGTGGGTGCCTTTGGGGGCTGGGTGTGGTTCTGGGCAGCTGTCCTGGAGATGGCATCTGAGCTGGGTGGGGGCTGGGATTCCCCAGATAGAGCAGGGAGCTTGAGGGGCGCTGGCTGGTGTGTCCACGCTGTAGCATGTGCACAGGAAAATAGATTCTGCCCTCTTTCCCTTGCGAGCAGAAGAACGGGGTTCCTGGGGGCCCAGGGACACTGGGATTGGTTTGAGGAGGAGAATCGGAACTGAGGAGGTTTGCCTGGAGTCCTTTCAGAAGAGGTTGGGACAGCTTTGGGTGAGGTGAGGGTGTGGGACCTTGTGTCTGTGTTGGGTCCGGGAGGGATGAGGCAGGACCCCCAGTCTTCTAAGTTATTATATCTTCTGTTTTTGCCTGGCCTAGACAAGAGTGCTTGCCCCTCGCCAGGGTCTCATCCTGGAGAGGGGGCAGTGAACCTGGCACAGGCAGAGTGGTGGGGCCAGCCTCCCTCAACCCCATTCAGCCTTCCCGCCCCCTCCCCTGCCCCGCCGCACGTGCCTCCCCAGCCCTTACCTGCCCCACCTGCCACTTTAAATCTTGGAGGCTGCCTGCCCTGCCCCTCCCACCTCCACCGTGCTGCTTATCTTGGTCCTGGGGCAGGGGCGGAGGCACTGGCCCAGCCTCCTGGGTGCTGAGACTCTGTTCCTGGTTTTCTTGCTATGGAACTGGGTAAGCAGCAGGAGGGAAGCTGGGTAAGTGTCTGGGGGGTCCTGGCCAAACTGGTGAGAGACACCAGAGGTTGAGGGACCCCAGAGAGAGTCTGGGGGAAGCCCCAAGTCTGGAGTACTATCCCTCCTTCACCTTCTTAGGCCCCTGGGAGGTATCTGGGTGGGCTGTGTGGGGAGGGGGCGGATGCAGCAGCCGGGCCACGGAGCACTGACACCTGGGCCCAGGCGTTCAAGTGCTGGCAGCTGCGCGGCCTGCTGGGAAGGAGCCAGGGGCTGCCAGAGGGTGACTGGAGCTGAGATGGGCATGAGGAGGGCTGTGGCCCAGGCCTCTCGGGCAGGGTGTATACACGCTAAGCACATCTTTGTGTAAACCTGTGTCAGGTCCCTGTGGGCCCCTGGGTCTGCGTTCCGGCCCTGCCTGTGTCGGTCTGTGCCCACCTGTCTGTGTGCTAGACTGTGTTTATCCGTGTGTGTGCCATTGTGCATTTGTGCATGTCAGGACTGGTGTGTTTTTGTGTAGCTGCCTGTTAATACAGGCCCGGGGTACATGTTGTGTCCTTGTGTGTCGGTACTGATATGTGGCGGTGTCTCTGTGGGCCCAGGTGTCTTTGGATCTACGTGTATCCGTGTCAGCATGAACACCTGCGTGTTTATCTGTGTCTCATTGTGTTCTTTACTCTGCCTACCAGCATGTGTTTCTGGGTGCATCTGGGTGTGTCCCTGTGTGTTCACGAGGAAGCCCACCCTGGGACAGAATGAGAAGGGAGAGGAAACAGGAAGACGGGAGGGGCTGGCCGCGTGGGCAGGTGGCACGACAGCCCGGTTCCTCCTGCCCGCCTCTGGGGCACCCACCCTCCTTCCCTCTGCCTCCCCAGACCTTGGGCTCTGGGCTCTCCTGACTTGATTCTGACCCCGAGCCCCTAGTGTCCTAGTCCTCTCTCCTGACGGGACACCATGCCTGGCTCTAGCCCTCCTGGGACCCGGCCTCCTCCCCTTACGCCCTGCTCTGTCCACCCTCCCCAGGAACGCCAGCGCCTGGAGACCATCCTGAACTTATGCGCCGAGTACAGCCGGGCCGACGGGGGACCTGAGGCCGGGGAGCTGCCCAGCATCGGGGAGGCCGCCGCAGCCTTGGCTCTGGCCGGCCGGAGGCCCTCACGAGGCCTTGCGGGGGGCACTGGGGCCTCTGCGCGGAGCAACGAGGAGCCTGGAGGTGCCACCCAACGCCTGTGGGAGACTGTGGAGCGCTCGGATGAGGAGAATCTCAAAGAGGAGTGCAGTAGCACGGAGAGCACCCAGCAGGAGGTGGGACCCAGCAGGAGGTGGGGCCCAGCAGGAGGTGGGACCCAGCAGGAGGTGGGACACGGGGTGGCCTGCCGCAGGCCGAGGAGGCACGCGTGTGTGGTGGATGCCAAGGCCCAGCGAGGGGGAAGTATATGAAGTTTGGGACGACATCAGGGTGTAGAAATGAGGAGGCGGGACTCCCCTGGCAGTCCACTGGTTAAGACTCCGCGCAGGGCGTGTGGGTTCCACGATCTCTGCTCCGGGAACTAAGGTCCCGCGTATCCAGTAGCGGGGCCAAAAAAAAAAAAAGAGGAGGCAAGGAAGAGGGGGAGGTGTTGATGAGTTTCCCAAGCTATAAATATGCTTTATGACCTGGCTTTCCTCGGAGCCCCACCCAGGCCTGGCACCCGGTGGTGAGTCTATTACTTTTAGCCAAGCTGTATTGCTCCCTGTGCGGGGAGGGGAGCTTCCTCCTATCTCAGTCCAGCTGCCCCTTCCGAGCACCCTGAGAAATGGGGATCCATTTCCTTAGTCTCATCCTGGAAGGCTCTAGAGGCTTCCCTAGCTGATGGCTCCCCTCCCCTCCAGCACGAAGATGCACCTAGTGCCAAGCTCCAGGGAGAGGTGCTGGCCCTGGAAGAGGAGCGGGCTCAGGTGCTGGGGCGAGTGGGGCAGCTGAAAGTCCGGGTGAAGGAGCTGGAGCAGCAGCTGCAGGAGTCGGCCCGAGAGGTGAGAGCGAGGGCCCTGGCTGGGCTTCTCCCCGGGCACAGTGATGGCCCCAGAGTGGCCCGAGTCCAGCTGCCTTGAGTGGCCTTGACGTGGACCCTGCTGTTGCCTCCAGGCTGAAATGGAGCGGGCATTGCTGCAGGGGGAGAGGGAAGCAGAGCGCGCGCTGCTGCAGAAGGAGCAGAAGGCGCTGGACCAGCTGCAGGAGAAGCTGGTGACCTTGGAGACGGGCATCCAAAAGGAGAGGGACAAGGTAACCCACCCCAGGCCTGGCTCAGTGCCGGGCGCCTGTGGCCTGGGAGAAGAGGAGAGATGCCTTTTCTGGGGCCCCTAACCTCTTACCTCATTGTTCATCCTGCAGCCCGGCTGGTCTCTGGGCCTCTCCAGGGTCAGGGGGCCTTATTCTCCGTGGAAAGTATCAGCTTGGAGGGCGCTGCCAGGGTCTGGGCTGGTGTCTGGGGTCTCCTCTGCCTGGGTCTCTGTTCTACATCTGGGTGCCTGGGTGCCTGCCATTCTAGGCCCTTCGTGCCCCTTCTAGGAAGTGCCGAAGCCCCTTCTTGGGCGGTGAGCACGGCCCAAGGCACTGGTGCTGGGGAGTGATTCAGGTCCGGGTGTCTGCATCTGGAGGACATCCGCCTCCAAGCGTGGCTCCGGTGCTCAGGATGTGGTCTTTGGGAGATGGCCCTCAGGTCTCTGTTTCCCTTGAGCCTTCAGGATCTGCAGCCTCCCATCCCAGATGGTCCCAGCTCCTGCCCCTGGCCCTTTCAGATTTCGTGCCAGCCTGCTGGGGCCGCTCCATCCCACAGGGGCCGTGTCAGCCACGCCCAAGATGTCCAACAACGTGCCAAAAGCTCCGAAGTGGAGAGGGGCCACCTATTTCTGGACTTGACAGTATTTTTCCAAGAATTAGTTCTCCTTCTGGATTTTTTGAGAGTGTCTTCCTCCTGCCCCTCAGTTTTGAAGCTCTTAACAATTCTTTGACCCTCCCACCCTGTTTTTTGGAGCTTTGGCTCTGGACCCCAAAACCACACTCCCAAATTCTGTGCCAAATTAACTCCATGCTTACCAACCAGGCCTGCACTAACGCCCCCTCTAATCACTGTCCTGGGCTCTCTGCATGTCCCTAACTGCCAGTGCCACCCAGGCAGGGCTGAGCCGTGCCTGCTTTTGCACTAACTCCACGGGCACCCCTGTGCCCTTGGCCCCTCCCCTCTAATGTTGCCTCCTTCCGTTCTTGGTGTGGGACCCCAGGGTTTTGATCAGAAAGGAATGGGCAGGGGGCACAGCTCCACTTTACTCAGTGGGGCATTGGCAGGAGGGGTACAAAATTGGGGGAAATGCTTGGCTGAGGAGCCTCTCAGTCCAAAGAGCTCCTCTCATTTGGAAAAGCCAGGGTGCGGCCTCCACAGACTGTTTGCAGTTTCCTGCACAGAGGAGAGGCGGGCTGTCCTCCAGCCGTCACCTGTCTTCCCTCCTGAGTGGAGGGATGAGGAGGTCCAGTGGTGGTGGCATGGCCTGGGGAGGGCACGGACAGGGGCTCTCTGCCACACAGTGGCTACCCTTCCTAGCTTTCCTCTGGGGCTTCCCAATTTCAGATACTCCAACCAGAGGGTGGGAAGGGGTAGGTCTCTCCCCACTCCCACCCCTGATCCATTCAGAACATAGGGTATTGCAAAGGCTGAGTCCAAGCATGGGGAAGTGCTTGGACCTCAGAAACTGGCCTGATCAGGCCTGGAGGACGATGGGGGCGTGGGGTGGAGGGGGGACAGAGGCAGGGTTCAGCACAGGGACTCCAGGGTGAAGCTCAGCATTTCAGCAGGAACCTGTCTAACCTCATTTCTCATTGACCTGGCATTGCCTGGAGGCATGGAATTTGCCTTCTCTCTGGGCCCAGTTATTTGAGGTGGAGGTGGTGATGGTGGTGGCCACGGTGGTGGTGGCAGTGGGGAAGGTTCCCTCAGCTTCCCTCCCCAGCGCCCAGCCCATGGCCCCATTCTGGCTTTGGAATCAGTAATCACAGTTTCTCCTCTGCCTGTCCTTCGGAGGGGTGACTCACCAGCTCCTCCCTGCATCCCCCCTTCCCACCCTCAGAGGTGTCATCTTGCCCCAGACAGAGCCATCCACCTCCTCTCTGTACCCACTCCTGGGGCTCCTATTACCATGGCAACGGGCCTAACTAATTGCAACCCTCATCCTACTGAAGTTCAGCCTGCAGTGCCAGCACCCCACCCCCACCCTGGGCAGGAGGTGGGGAGGCCAAGGGGTTTGGGTTGGGGTCCCCTCCACTGCACTGCTGTAGCTTTAACATCCTCGGCTCCCAATTCACACCCAACCCCTGGATTTAATCCCCACCAACTCTACCCTTTTCCCAGGGTTAAATTTTGGTCTCTGGGAAGCGGAAGAGGGGGAGGAACAGCAGCTAGAGGCTCCGTGTTTGTGATGTGGAACCAGCTTTGTCTTTGACTGGTTTGGAGAGAAAACAGGGCCTCTTCCTAGGACTTGCCCAAACCTTTCTAGTTCAAGGGACTCCAAGAGACCAACATTTCTGCCTGGGACCCACACCCCTGCCTGTGACACCATCGCCTGCACCTCCAGTCCTGTCTCACACCCCAGCTCTTTGCCTTTCCCACTCTGCACCTCTTCCTCCTTATTTCCCTTTCTCCTGTTTGCTCTCTCCTCTCCTGGTTAAACTCCTTTCATTCCCCGCCTTCTTTCTCTTTTCCCCGCACCCCACCCCCCTTCCCTGCGCCCCGCCCCGCGCCGCCGCTGCCCCGGGCCGGAGTTGAGGAGTGTGTGTTCTGTTTCTCCCCTGTGCCCGCCCCCTCCCCCTCCGGCGACCAGGAGAGGGCGGAGCTGGCCGCGGGACGGAGGCACCTGGAGGCCCGCCAGGCGCTCTACGCCGAGCTCCAGACGCAGCTCGATAACTGCCCCGAGTCAGTGCGGGAACAGTTACAGGAGCAGCTGAGAAGGGTCAGTTTCACCAGCCCCCGCCCCCTCCCCGCCCCCGAGGGCCGCCCGCCCGGAAGAGAGGAGCGGTGGGCCGGGACCGCCTGGGCCCTGCAGTACCTGCCGGACGACAGGGTCCGTGTTGTGGCTTGGAGGGGACAGGGAAGGATTGGGGTGGGGGGTGGAGGTTTTCTCCTTTCTGCTACTGCAGGCAGCGCTGCCCGGCAAAGGGGCAGAGCCGAGCGGAGGAAAGGGGGCGGGGTGGGGGCAGGTCCCTTCCTCCGTTTCCCCGGGTCCAGCCCCCAGAAGTCTCACCTCTGTGAACTGGCCTTCCAGGCGCAGAGTGGTATCGTGAGCACCACCCGATCCCCTTTGTCACTGTCGTTCAAGGAGGCAGAAGCCCTGGAGACTGAGACAAAGCTCTTTGAAGACTTGGAGTTCCAGCAGCTGGAGCGGGAGAGCCGCGTGGAGGAGGAGCGCGAGCTGGCTGGCCAAGGGCTGCTCCGGAGCAAGGCCGAGCTGCTCCGGAGCATCGCCAAGAGGAAGGTGCGCCCCCCTGGCCCCCATCCCTGCCGCGAGGCCCGCAGTGCCGGCTTGACTTCACCTTGCTGAGCCTCGGTTTCCTCATCTGTAAAACAAGAACAATAACAGGCTGTTGTGAGCGATAAAGGAGATGATGTGTGTGAAGACAGCATAGGACATGATCATAGTAAGCACTCAGTGAACAATAACTATTGTTATTAAGCTCTGACTCCCCCCAGTCCTCCAGTGGAAAGTGGATTGGGCTCACATTCAGAGCTGGGCCCTGGCTGGGCAGGGAAGGGAGAAACGGAGATGGAGGAGGGGGCTGAAGAGGAGACTTGCTCCTGCCCTTGTAGAGCTCTCTGATGGAAGTGCTGGGACACATACAAAGACCAGAGATCTGGATATTAGAGCCTGCCAGGGGTACTAGAAAGGCATCACCTGGGTTCCAGCCTTGGCCCAGCCCTGGCTCAGCTGAGCCGTAAAACAAGGGGATTTGGTATCGCATCCTGGCTGGTTCTGGAGCTCCAGATGCTCTGATGTCTCCTCCTGATCTCAGCCAGACCAGGACAGGGTATTGGGGCAGGGATGTAAAGTTGGGAGGAGGCTTGTGTTAAGCAAGGGTTAGGAAGGTGTGGATGAGGAGAAGGGGGAGGAGCCAGGCGGCCCACACACCTGTTGCTGAGAGTTGAGTGTTCGTGCACACATATGCATGCATGTGCACTTTGCCAGGCTGGTGTGAGTGGGTGGGAGGTGAGGGCAGTGAGATTGGGGAGGGGTGTCAAAAAGAGGGGCTAGATGGCTAGCCTGAGTTTGGTGGTAAGTGGGGAGCCACTGGACTTGCCCCTGAGTCCAGATCCCTTGCTTCTCTCCCTGAGCTGCTCTGCCTTACAAATGCATCTGCCTATCAGTGAAATGGGCATAAAGGCATCTGCCTCGTAAGAGAGTTAAGTGAGGTAACACGTGCAAAGCATTTAGCAGAGTTCTTGGGTCCTGACAGGTTCTCAGTAAATTGCAGATCTTGTTGTGAGGATTACCACCTGGTCTGCTTCAGTCTGCTTGGGCTGACCCCAGATTTAGTACAGCTCCCTTCTTCCCTCCCTTCTCTCCTATGTCTTGCTCTTAGTGGTGATGGTTTAAGGCCTCCTCTTTCAGGAAGCCCTCCTTGGATAAACCCAGCCCATTTTCCCGAGCCCCTCTCCTTCTCTCTCACTTATTATCTTTTCATTTCCTCTTAGCACATGATTGTTGAGCCAGGCATTGCGCTAAGCCCTACTGGGGATATGGAGACAGAAAAGAAACTGGCCCGGCCCTTGGATCGGACAGCTTGGGCGGGGTGGTGGTGATGGAGACATATATTCACAAGTAACAGCAATACAAGGCAAATGGTGATATGGAATAATTTGAGCACAGAGCAAGGAGCAAAGGAATTGAGTGGTAATCAAGGAAGATGTTGGAGAGAAGATAGCATTGGGTCTGGTCTTGGAGGATAAATAAGCTCTTGATGGGTGGAGAAGACAGGGCAGCATTCCTGGCAAAGAGAACCGTATAAGAAAGGCCTGGGAGTGTACACCTGCACCGCTGACATTACAATAGGGCCGAGCTGAGTGCACGCCGCCGAGGGCTCAGGGTAGGAGGGAGGGTGGAAGGTGGAGGCCCAGTTCCAGGAGCCCTTGAGTGCTGGCTGAGGGATTTGTGCTTTATCCTGTGAATAATGAGGAGTTGCTGAGAAGAGGACTGATGACCCTTACTCGTGGATTAAAAAAAAAATTATTCAAGTAATATACATTCTAAAAAGATTAGAAAATTCAAACAAGCAAGCAAACGAAAACAAACCTCAAAGTCCATTTTAGGAAGCTACCTGTGGCAGTGTAGGGGTGGATCAGAAAGTTGAGAGAGTGGAAGCAGGAGGCTGGTGAAGAAGTCCAGGCCAGGAAACAGAGGGCCTGGGTTGGGGTGGTGGCAGTGGGATGGAAGCACGGGGGCAGGTGGAGAACGTTGCAGCATCTCTGGGATTCCGGACACATTGACTGGGGCGGGCGGGGAGAGAGATTTGGGAACTTGAGTTCTGGCTGGTGTGCCTGGTGGCATGGGGTCACTGGTTGAGGGAGGGGTGAGGGAGCCGACCACAGCAGCCTGCGTTTTCCTTGGGTGAGACGAGGCCGAACAGAAGGGCTAGTTGATTCCCTTCACCCAAGCCCAGGGTCTCTGGGCAGCAGAGACGGCCAAGCCTCACCTTGGGCTCAGCCCTGTCTCTCCAGGGTCTGACCCACTACCCCCATCTCCTCCAGGAGCGCCTGGCGGTCCTGGACAGTCAGGCTGGGCAGATCCGGTCCCAGGCTGTGCAAGAGTCAGAACGCCTAGCCCGGGATAAGAGTGCTTCCCTGCAGCTGCTGCAAAAGGTAGCCCCAGTCGGGTTGGGTGGGGGATGAGGGCTGGCGAGGGGCTGGGGGAGTGGGAGGTGAGTGCAGAAGGGCTGGGGTGGAGACTGGCCAGCCAGGTGGGATCCCCCTTTACTTGGGGCCCCTTGCCCCACTCCCACTCCTTTCTGATTCTGCCGCTTTGGGCTTGCAGGAGAAGGAGAAACTGGCTATGTTGGAAAGAAGATACCACTCTCTCACAGGGGGCAGGGCTTTCCCGAAGACCACGTCGACCCTCAAAGAGGTAACATGGTTGGTTTGGGCCCCAGCCTCAGGCCCAAGGGGTCTCCTGGGAGGCTCTGGAGCAACACATGGGGCCTTCACCCCAACAGCTGAGGTTGAATATGGGGGCATTTTCCTGAACCGGAGAAATTTGAGTAGGGATGGCTCTGAGGTCTGGGATTGGATCCTCTATGGCTACCGGCTGCTTCTTTTCAGCTGCCTTTCTGGGCCCCAGGAGCCCACCGATCTTACCGTTTCGGGTGACTGAATACATCTGGGGGATTCAGGAGGCATGGGTGGGGAGGATGGCAGCTCAGAGGTTTGGTAAGGGCTAGGGCTGGGTGGACTCAGCTCAAGGGGCAGCATAAGGATCTAGGGGTCCTGATCTTGGAGCTCCCTGGGCTTCTGTCTGCAACTAGGCTACAGGCTCAGAAGTGGGCATTGGGGCTCTTTCTTTCCCGAGTCTCTGCATGCCTGGTGTGTGAGGTCCAACCAGAACGTGCCAAGTTTCCTGCCTCATTGTGTAAACAATTTGGGCCTGGGGTGGGGTGGCTGGGCTGAGTGTGAGGCCCCTCACACGTACCCTCTCTGTAGGCTGAACTGCTCATCTCCGAGTCCTCAGAGGTGGGGCTGGGGATGGCGGCTCTGGGTCCCTTCCCAGGGTCTTCTCAGGCTGGGGCCTCCTCTGGTCCCTTAACCCCACCTGCTTCCACTCAGCTCTGCCCCAAAGCACAAGAGGTAATCACAGCTAACTGCCTGCTCTGCTGTACTCTGCCTGTCTGCCTGCTTGCTGAGCTGTGCTCAGCTCCTCCCAATGGCCCAGCTGAAGGGCGCGTGGCAGTAATCCTTTGTCTGGCCAGAGTTTGTTCCATAGGTGCCTGGGCAGTCCATGCAAAATCAGAGCATTAATTTGCATATAAATTTGCATATATTCTGCATGTCATCCATCCGTCCTCACAACACACTGGACCTGCTAGCTCATTTTCCTTTTCTGTGACCCCTGGAGGACGGTCCCCCTCTGGAGCTAGGTCAGGGTGGGCTCCCCTGGATAGGGCAGGCTTAGGATCCTGTACTTTGATTCTGCATGCATTTTGGATGCCTACCATGTCCCCAGCACCTAGATAAGCTCAGAATTCTAAGGATTTGCTCAGAGAATACAACAGTCCCTGTCTTCCCAACCCACAATCTGGTGTGTGAGCATCTTTCCAAGTCCTAACCTTCGGGCAGTGGGCTGGTTTTTCTATCTGGGCTTTTAGCTACTCCCTGCTAAGGCTTCTTTCTCAGGGCCTGTGTTGCTCAGGCCCTAGTGGTGCCTCCAGTTCCTGTTCCTTCCAGCTCCTGCTCCAGCAGATGGGGTGTGAGGGGACCCATGGGAATGCTGTGCCTGGCGCTCGGTGATACATGTGTGTGCCTCATTGGGGAGGCCCAAGGTGTTGGAGACAGAAAGGCTCTCTGGGAGGTGGGTCCTGGTCCCTGGTGGACTCTTGGAAGACCTTCCTCGGGCTCCTTCACCTGCCCCTAGCCCAGGGCAAACCCAGGAATGGGCTTTCAGGGTCTGCCCGTGGCAGGGCCCGGATGCCAAGGCAGCCTCAAGAGTGAAGGTTGAGAAGAGCCTTCAGACAGTCAGTTCTGCCGGCCCTTTTCTGCCCCCCGCCCCACTGCCCAGCAGCCAGCTGAGGCCACAGTGGGCAGCTGAGCTCCCCACGCACCCCTACTGTGGATTTTGTATTGAATGGAGTGATGGCCCTTTGGCATGGACTGTGGATGTCAGGTACCTGGTTGAATCCTGTTAACCTGTTCTCTGCCCACCCTTCCCCCTCCCACCGGGCACCCTAGGAGTATGTGAGCCTGGCAGAGGTTCTCCAGCTGTGCTCCTGCTTGGACCCCTATGCTTCTGCCACCTCCCCCAGCGCGCTCGCCCAGCCCCTGCCTGACAGTGAGGTACCAGCCACCGAGTGAGCCCACCTGTGCCCAAGGGCCTCCTCATGGATGCCCTCGATTGCCCCTCAGGCCTGGGTTGGGGGGGCAGCAGGGTCTGTCTTCAGCAGTGAGGGAGAAGGGCAGCTGGCGTCAGGGGGCTTGGGAGTGGTTCCCTCTCTTGCCTGGGGCTTCGGGATCTTCCTTCAGCTCCTGATGGCTCAAGGAGGGAAGGCCTTCTGCTCTAGCGTGAGGGCATCCTGCGGAGAGGACCCTGGCTTTCCCGGGCTCTACAAGCCTCCTCTGCTCTGTGTGTCCTCCTCTTACCCTCCCCTTGCCCGTGGGCAGGGCCATCTCTTGGGTTCCCGTCCCATTAACCTCTTGTATTCCCTCCTGTGTCTGGCCTTCCCCCAAGTACCTGACGCTTGAGCAGCTAAAGGCCATGTGGGGCACCTCGCCTGTGCCCGCAGCACCTGCGCCAGGCCTGCCTCCCTGGGCCCCTGCCTCCCAGGACCTGGTTCCCACCACCTGCCTTCTTCCCGCGCTGCCCTCTTCCTCCTCCTTCGCTTCTATCCCGCCTTCAGCCCAGGTTGGTGGTCTGTGTGTTCCTGCCACCCGCAGCCCACTAGTGGCGTGGCTCTGTCTGTGTGTGCTTTGCCCGTGCGCAGTGGCGTCTCAGCCCTCAGCCGGCCCCCGGGGGGGGGAGCGCTGCCTGCCGGGGGGGCGGTGCTCCCGCTGGCCGGCATCGTGGTTGGCGCAGCACGTGTCTGTGGTCTGGGAGTTGTGCCCTGTTTCTCTTTGCCCTTAGCACGTTCGCGGCAACTGTTTTCTCACTGTGTTTTCTTCTCTTTACACTCTCCTTTCTCCCTTCCTTCGTTCCTGTTTTCCCTTCCTGTCTGTTTCCCTGATAATGGTCTTCCTTTACCCTTCCTCCAACCTTCCCCTTTCTTTGCCCTTTTCTTCCTTTTTCCTCCCCTTTCCTTTCCCCTCACTCCTTGACCTTTCCTCTCCATCCTTCCCCTCCTGTCCCCTGTCGTCCTCCCCGTGCCCCCTCCAGATGGAGAAGCTGCTGCTCCCCGCTGTAGACTTAGAGCAGTGGTACCAGGAGCTGATGGCCGGGCTGGGGACCGGCCCCGCTGCAGCCTCCCCTCGTTCCTCCCCCCCGCCTCTGCCCGCCAAAGCTTCCCGTCAGCTGCAGGTAACCCCTCCTTGCCGATCCATCAGCCCCACAGTGCTGCCTTAGGTGGTGGGGGGTTAATCCAGCCGGGGCAACAGGGGCCTCTGGACCCTGAGAGGGGAGTGAGGGTCTCCTCTTGGGCAGCCATCCTGGCACTCCGGGTGTGGAGGGCCAGCCTCCTGAGTCCGAGGCTCGACGCGCTTGGCTGTCCAATGCAAGGAGGCTCGGGAGCGGCGGTGCCTCATGCTGTCCTCGGTGGCCCTCACCCCCAGAGCTTCTCACTCGGTCTTGTCCTGATGCACTCTTGAGCCTGTTGTCTCTGGAACTTGTATGTCCTAGGAGAGTTGCCAGTATTTTGTTCTCCTGGTCTCCCCAGGGGTGACACTTGGAGGCAGGACAGAATGGGACAAAGGCTCTGAAGTGATAGCCCTGAGGACATGCCCAAGACTCCTCCTAGTTGCCATTGGGGGCATGGCCGTGCTCCAGCCTGCGGCAAGCTGCTGCCCTCGGGGTGGGGGAAGAGTATTCGGGCAGCCTTCTGCCCCAAGTGTTGCTCCACTGACCGGCTGGAGGGCCTGAACCCCCCTATCCCCCAACGCCCCATTCAAGATTCATTCTTTGAGTGAAGACATTGCATCTCTAAGACTGTGATCTCAGCTCTAAAATTCCGTGTTTCCTTTGGGAGTAGTTTGTGTGACATTTCTATTTTGTGCCCAGCTGGTTTGAGATTTTTATATGTTTTGATTCATTTAATCACTACCACAGGCCTTTGAGGTAGATAACGATAACTCTCGTTTTACAGATCAAACACTGGGCCCCCCCCCCCCCCCCCCCCCAACCCACCCCCCCCCCCCCGGAGAAGATAAGTAATCTCTCCGAGGTCACACAACTAGGAAGTAGCAGAGGCTACACTGAGGGCCAGGGTTCTTGACTCCAAAGACCACATTCACCAAACATCAGTGCTGTGAGGGAGCTTGGCGATTATTTAGTCTAGCCCTACCCCCTCCTTTTGCAGATAAGGAAGCCAAGGCCCAGAGTGGGGAGGTGCGTGGCCCAAGGTCACAGCCCCTTAGCAGCAGAGCTGGGACCAGAGGGAGCCCCGGCCTCCAGTCAGTCTCCTGTACAGCTCTGCCCGTTGGTGTTAACTCCTCACATGGGTTGATTTACAAGGTCCTTTCTAAGATGCAGGGTTGGACCAGGGATTGGCCCAAGGAGGAGCAGCCTGGAAAGGAGGCTTGGCAGCTGCCAATAACATCTGTCCATTGCGCTGGCCCAGGAGGCTCAGTGCTGTTGTCAGCTAGAGACAGAGGCCTCGGGTGCTGGGGCAGTACCTTGGATCACAGCCAGCCTAGATGCCATGGGGCTGGTGGCCAGTGGGGGAGCCGGGGATACCAGACCGTGTCTCTTCCCTCCAGGTTTACCGCTCCAAGATGGATGGTGAGGCCACTAGCCCCTTGCCCCGGACCCGCAGCGGCCCCCTCCCCTCTTCCTCTGGCTCTTCCTCCTCCTCCTCCCAGCTCAGCGTGGCTACCTTGGGCCGTAGCCCCTCCCCAAAGGTCTGAGGACAGTGGGAGGGCTGTGTGCGTGGCAGGGTGGTGATGGTGGGGGATGGAGACAGCCACACTGGAGAGAGGTCACAGCCTTCCATGAGGGCCTTGAGGGTAGGGGGAGGTGCCTTGTGAGCCTCGGGTCCCAATGCTCCGTTTCCCTCCGCAGAGCACTCTACTCGCCCAGAATGGCACAAGCAGCCTTCCTCGCAGCCTGGCAGCCACGCTGCAAGACATTGAGACCAAGCGCCAGCTGGCCCTCCAGCAGAAGGGTGAGTGGCTGCAGCGCCAGCCCACCTGCTTTCCTGGGGGCCCTGGACATCTGCCACGTGCTCCCCACCCTACCTCATCCATGCCCACGCCTTTCCCAGGATGTTTTTCCTTTAATTGGGATCTAGGCAAGAGCAAAAAGGATTTGGATTAGATACCTAAAGAAGAGATTCCTGGCTATTTATCAAAAGACTAAGGGCAGGGGACTAAGGGTCGGCAGGGTGGGGTGGGGGTGGGGGTGGGGGGTGGGGGGTGGGAGGTGGGGTGGTGGTGGCTGTGAGATCTTTCCTAGAGACCGCAGCAAATAAGGGAAATGCTTGTTGACCTGAGTAGAGATAGACGTTATCCTGTCTGGAGGCAAGGGGTTGGACTTGATGACCTCCACAAATGCTTCCCTAAGATATTGTCTCTAGGGACCCAGGAGTCCTGGCTGCTCATGTGCGTTTTGTTTGTTTTGAAAGTCCAAGTCCTTGCCTTTCTCCCCTCTCATCCCCTCTGTGTCTCTACCCGGGGCCCCCCTACCAGTCGAGTCGCTTCCTGCCGAGCCCCTCCCAACCGACGACCCAGCAGGTAGAGCGTTGGTCATTGAGGGCATTGCTTTGGCCAGGCAGCCCCTGCCCGGGCAACCGCATGATGTATTCTGCCCAGGCCCCCACTGCCCGCAGGCAGACTCCCAGGCTGAGTTGGGTTGGGGTGTTGGGCTGGCCTCACCCCGCCAGCTGAGCTCTCTCCTGCCTCAGCTGTGCTCCGCCTCGTCTCCCCTTCCTCCTTTCCTGCCACTGGCACTCCTGCTTCTGCATCGCCGCAGGGTCTGCATTGATGTGGGTGCTCATGGGGCTCCCAGCACCTCTTCCTTCACCCTTCCCCAGCAGCAGGGTGGGTGCATGTGCCCTGCCCACCTATTCAGGCCATGGTTGTGAGCTGGAGCCACCTGGCTGTCGTGCTGCCGGGGCCCCACCTGGGCAGGTTCGGTGCCGCGTGTGGGCTCAGGACACAGTGGGAGCGCTGAAGTCAGGCTGCATGGCTGTGGCCAGTTGTGCAGGTGACGAAGCGTTGCCAGGGCAGCCGGACCTGGAGCTGCGGGGGCTTCAGGGAAGCTGGTGGGGGGCAAGGGGGCTGCCCCGTGTTACCTTCTCCCCGCTCGCCTCCTCCCTCCGTCTGTGATGCGGCAGGCGTCCTCCCTGGGGAGGTGGGGTGCCCACCGTGACTCCCGCCTGTCGCTCCTGCAGGGCAGCAGGTGATTGAGGAGCAGCGGCGGCGGTTGGCTGAGCTGAAGCAGAAGGCGGCGGCCGAGGCGCAGTGCCAGTGGGACGCCCTGCACGGGGCCGCGCCCTTCCCGGCCGGGCCCTTGGGCTTCCCGCAGCTCCTGCATCACTCCATCCTGCACCACCTGCCGGCGTCCAGGGAGCGAGGGGAGGAGGGCGAGCACGCCTACGACACGCTGAGCCTGGAGAGCTCAGACAGCATGGAGACCAGCATCTCTACGGGGGGCAACTCGGCCTGCTCCCCCGACACCATGTCCAGGTACCCGCGCCCCGGCCGCCACCCGACGGCCCGCCGCCGTCCTGCCCACACCAGGGCCGCCGCCTCCACCGTGTGCCTCCTCCCCTTGCCTCCCCAGTGCCAGCGGCCTGGATGTGGGGAAGACGGAAGAAATGGAGAAGATGCTGAAAGAAGCCCATGCGGAGAAGAGCCGGCTCATGGAGTCGAGGGTGAGGCAGATCTGGGCCATGGGAGGCGGGAGGAGGTGCGGGGCCCCGGGGCTGCCCTCCGCCTGCCAAGGGCCTCCGCTCCTCCCCAGGCCCCTTCACCCACGTTGTCCTCGCAGCGGTCCCTTGAGGAAGAGTGTTTTCAAAGCCTGTGTTCCTCAAGTGGGGGACGCGGAGGCTTGGCAAGATGACCAGTTTCACAGCTCTTAGGAAAAGGGGACGCAGCACCCAGTGTCCAATGGTGAATTTCCCGTATGGGAGCTTCCAGTCTTTGTGTGTTCACCTCTTTGGACGTTTGGCCACCACAGAAATTTTGATTCCTGGCTACCTGAGTGCCAGGTCACTCCTCTTGGGGATGGCTAGGACCTGGGGTTGAAGGATGGGGACAGAGAGAAGGCAGATGTCCAAGCCAGAGCAGAGGTGTTGGCTGCGGGGGCCTCACGTTGCCTACTGATGGGCCTGGGACACAGCAGAGGGGCCAGGGGTTCATCGTGGGCACAGCCAGGCTGAGGAAACCGTGCCTGGGGAGGAGGTGAAATAGAGAATCTGCAGAAGCTCATCTGTCTCTATCATCCGGGCATTCTGCATGTCTGGAGTTAAGAGTGGAACCCGGGGAGCAGGAGATCAACCAGAAAAGAAGGCCTCTTAGTCTTATTTACTTCAGAGGAGGGCAGATTTACAAACATCTCTTGACAAATGGAATAAAAGGAGGTTCTGCTAAGTTTTGAGCTGGGAAGAAATGACAGATGGGAGTTAATATGAAGGTTGTTATCATTGATGAAGACATACAAAACATCACCCACATGCTGTGTATTTAATGATTTGTTTTAATGACTGAAAATCTTTTGATAATGGCTTTCATAAGTTCATTTTTTTCCCATAAAATCTGAAGTTCAACCATAAATGTTTCTCATTTGGAGTTTCAGAGGGCCTTCACTTATCGATTAGGTTGTTTAGACAATCCATGTCCTAGGAATTCAGATAAAATTATAAAAGCCCCATTTTTTTATTGAGTGCTTCCTTCCTGCCGGAGTTAGTGATGGGCATTTACTCACATGATCTCATTTAATTTTCGCTACAATCCCAGGAGTAGGCACTCTTGGCCCCATTTTACAGATGAGGCAACTGAGGCTTAGGGAGTTTGTCAGGGTCCAGAGCTCATAGTGGTGGTAGAGCCAGGATTTGAAGCCAGGTTGGTCTCAGTTTAAGGCATTTACCCTTGTCAGCCAGGTCCTTAGAGAGGGTGGGCTTGGGGGATGATGGCCCCTCATGCCAGGCTGCCCTCTGAGGTGGGTGCCTCCTGTGGCTCTGCCCCGGCCTGAGGAGGGGTGGCAGGGACTTGGGGGGGAAGAGGGCAGTGGTGGGCACTGAGCCCTGGCTTTGGGGGCAGGAGCGGGAGATGGAACTGAGGCGGCAGGCCCTGGAGGAGGAGCGGAGGCGGCGGGAGCAGGTGGAACGGAGGCTGCAGGGCGAGAGCGCCCGGAGGCATCAGCTCGTGGAGAAGGAGGTCAAGATGCGGGAGAAGCAGTTCTCGCAGGTGAGTGGGTGGTGGGCTTAAGGGTAGGGCTGACGAGGGGTCGGGATATCCCAGGGTACTACCCCTGCTGGGCTGTAGAGCCTGTTTTCTCCAGAAAGGATTGCACAAGCAGAATTCTACCTGGGACTTGTTTGGCCCCAAGGAACAGGGACCCGCTGTGTGTCTGTGTGTGTGCGTGTGTGTGTGTGTGTGTGTGTTGATTGGGTTGTGGGGATGCGGCAGGCCACCTTTTAGAGAAGAGGGTCTGGACAGGCCTTCCAGTGATGGGAGCTGAGTCAGAATCAGGGTGGCTACCCTTGGCCTCTCGCAGGGGCCTCACCTCTGCCTCGTGAGTCTGCACTGCACCTCCTTCCCGGTCCCTGATGCCCTCCTGCTTCTGGTGCTTTGTGGCTGTCCTAGCCTCACTCCACCAGACCTTTTGGCTCTAGGCCCCGCCGCCAGCAACTGGCCTCACTCTGACTTTCGGTTTACATCTCCAAAAGAGAATGTACTAGTTTCTCCTTGGGACAAGAATCCATCCTTACACAAAAGCCAATCCTGGGCTTTTTCCTTATACAGGAGACTTGAGCAGAGCAGTTGAAGGGAGAGGGAGAAATTAGGTTGGGCAGGGAAATCGACTTGTGTGTCTGGTCCCAGACCCTGGGCCCCTGGGAGAACATGTGAGATTCAGACAGGTTGTCCCTTCCTCTGGGGGTTTCCATAGGCCTCCCCAGCGTGGAGGTCCTACCCAGCAGTGACTGGCGATCATAGCTCCATGATTTCCTAATGTTGCTGCAACATGAATTCTAAGGGGTAGGTTGGCTCGGGAATTTAGAAATAATTAAGAAACTCTGTGTGTGAGTTTTATCTCTGTGCTTGGAATCTTTTGCTAAATGCCTAGTTCCCCTTTCCTGTCTCTGTCAGTGGTCTCTTTGGGACTCTCTTCTCTAGCCCCCTGCGCTGGGGCTCAGGAATGGCTGCAGGGGCCACCAGCTTTGAGGAGGTGGATGGCGTCAGCTCATCTTTGGGGCACCTCTGGGAAGTTGAGCATTTTGTTTCTTCTTTTTTTTTTTAATAAATTTATTTTTATTTATTTATTTTTGGCTGCATTGGGTCTTCGTTGCTGTGTGCGGGCTTTCTCTAGTTGTGGCGAGCGGGGGTTGCTCAGCAGTTGTGGCGCAGGGGCTTAGCTGCTCCGCAGCATGTGGGATCCTCCCGGGCCAGGGCTCGAACCCGTGTCCCCCGCATTGGCAGGCAGATTCCTAACCACTGCGCCACCAGGGAAGTCCCTGTTTCTTCTTTAAATAATTTGTAATGTTTCCTTTTCATGTCATTCTAACATTCTTCGTCGAAATAAAGAGGAGAAAAAAATTCCAGTTGACTGAGAATTCTAGTTAAGTATCAGAAATTTTGAGGTGGAACAGACCTTAGAGATTCTCTAGTTCAAAGCCCTTGTTTACATATAAGGAGACGGAGGCCCAGAGAGGGACTGTGACCCAAACAAGGCCCCACAGGAAGTTAGAGACCAGGCTTCTTTTTTATTTTGCGGTACGTGGGCCTCTCACTGTTGTGGCCTCTCCCGTTGCGGAGCACAGGCTCCGGACGCGCAGGCTCAGCGGCCATGGCTCACGGGCCCAGCCGCTCCGCGGCATGTGGGATCTTCCCAGGCCGGGGCACGAACCCGTGTCCCCTGCATAGGCAGGCGGACTCTCAACCACTGCGCCACCAGGGAAGCCCCCAAGACCAGGCTTCTTATTGGGCTTTTCTTCCAAGAGCATGTTCACATCTCGTCCTTTGCTTTGTTCCATTCAGCCCAGGAGGGAGAGGAGGGGCAGGAACAGGACAAGGACAGCTGTGTCTGGGAAACTGAGGCGTAGAGCCGTTCAGCAGTTTGACCAGACCTGGGTGGAGTCAGCACAGGCATGCCAGGTCCCTGCTTTGGCCAAAGCCCCATGAAACCAGAGTGACAGCCGGGAGGGTGGGGAGGGAGTGATGGCAGGCTTTTGGGGGTTCGGGACTGAAGCCAAGGGGCCCGGGCAAGGGAATGACAGGGGAAGAGAGGGGCCCCTACTGATCCTACCCTCTGCTCCCAGGCACGACCCCTGACCCGCTACCTGCCGATCCGGAAGGAGGACTTTGACCTGAAGACCCACATTGAGTCCTCAGGCCACGGTGTGGATACCTGCATGCATGTGGTGCTCAGCAGCAAGGTACAGGCACGCGTGGCCCCGGGGCACGGGGTGGGTGTCGTGGTGGGGACCCCATGTTCAGAGGCACCTCCTGGGTTCTCGGAATAGTGGCCTTAGTTCCTGCCCTAACACCAGCAGTCTCTGTCCCAGGACCAGGTGTGCTGGCCTGAAGAGATGTTGGGGACAGCCCCCCAACGAATACAGGCACAGGCGATGGCACTGACATTGCTGCTCAGGGAATAAAGGTTTAGGGGCTGCACATTTGGGTCTTTCCTCACCCCTGCATTCTACCAGGTCTGCCGTGGCTACTTGGTCAAGATGGGTGGCAAGATTAAATCATGGAAGAAGCGCTGGTTTGTCTTCGATCGACTCAAGCGCACCCTTTCCTATTATGTGGGTGAGTTCCCCCAAGACTGCCCCAGAGCCAGGACCCCTGGGCTCTGTCACCCAGGACAGCGGGTCTTCTGGAAGCTTCCAAGTGGGGTCCAGGGGCTTGGGCTGGGTCTTGTCCTCCCCTCTCTGAAAATGTACAGAGTATACCTGGTTCGCCTCCATTGATTTGTTCACGCATTCATTTTTTCAGCAGTATTACTGAGCATCTAATAAGTTACAGGCACTATTCTAGGCTCTGGTGATAAGCAAGGTGGCCACAGCTCTCTCTCCCTTGGAGCCTTTTGTCAGGGAGGCAGTTAGTGAGCAAAGAATGATGGGAGTGCTGTAGGGGACCCCAGATGCTGTGGGCGCATGGAGTCCTGTGGATTCCCCCTCGGGCAAGTTCCTGCAAAGGCACCAGCACAAGCAGCCGAGCAGTGCCCGGGACGCTCAGGGCAGCCCTGAGGACAGCCCCCTGGCCCATCCTGCTCCCTCCGCCCTCTGCACCCAGCCTCCAGCTTAGTTTCCCTCCCTGCAATTCCCTCTGGACAGCTCCCACGTGGAGCGTGGGATGCTGTATCATATCCTGGTCAGGATAGGCTAGGCTGCGCTGCGGAAGCGACCTGTCCTAAGATCCCAGTGGCTCGAAACCCGCGTTTCCTTACTTACTCCTGGTACGTGTCCATGTACGTCGTGGGTTGGCGGGGGCTCTGCTCTGCGTCAGCGTTCTCTTTGCTTCAGAGCATGCCTTTCTAGAACGTTGCTGGCTGCAGCGGCAGAGGGTAAAGAAAAGCCTGATTGGGTTGGCACTGGCGTTAAATGCCCCAGCTGGGGTCTGTCCCCAAGTCACTAGTGGGTCTGTTCAGCCAGTCACCCGGCCCCACCCAACCACAAAGCCGGGAGGAGCGGTCCTGCTGGGAGCCTGGAAGGAGAGGGCCGGAGGGTTTGGTGCTGGAGTCGCTCAGGCCTGGAGCACCCTGCTTCCCCCCTGACCTGGTCCCCAACCAAGTGCCACCCCTTCCAAGAAGCCCTCCCTGGCCACCTGGGCCCTGGGTACGGGGAGGCAGAGACACGTGTGCCCCCATGTTTCCACCTAGGCTGGGAAGGGACTTTGTCAGGATTGAGAGGAACAGGCCCGGGAGGACAACTCCATCTTAGGCACATTGAGGTTGAAGTGCCCCTGGGGCATCTAGGGTTATGAGAAAGGTCAGGGTTAGAGACAGAGTGGAAGTTGAAACTGTTGGAATGATAATAATAACGATAATACTAATGACAGCAGATCATACTTACTGAACACTTGTATGAGCCAGAGGCCGTGCTAAGCGCTCTACGTGCCTCATCTCATTTAATCTTCACGGTGATCTTGTGAGGGAAGCACTGTTTTTACACTCATTTTACAGATGAGGAAAATCAGGCACAGAGAGGTTAAGTAACTTGCCCAAGGTCTCTCAGCTGCTAAGAGGCAGAGCTAGGACTGATCTTGGGCAATTAGACTTTAGAGCAGAGAAGAGGGAGAAACAGAGCTGCACTCTGGGGCAGGTCCACCCTTGTGAGGAAGGAGGCACCAGCAAAGCGAAAGGGGCAGGAGGCAGGAAGCCACATGCCAGGTGCTATGCCGGTGCTTGGCGCATGTGACGTTCCTTAATGTCTGTGAAACAAAAGGAGACCCAATCAGACAGGGGAAGGGGAGGGCAGGGCGGAAATGGAGAAGGAAGCCAGCGAAGGGAGCAGACATGTGCAGGCAGGGGGTGTCACCAGCGATGATGGAGGCTGCAGAAAGGCCAAGAGTAATGTGGACCCAAAGGTCATTTGATTCAGGGGTTGGATCTTGACGAGAGAATGGTTTCCACCACGTACCGGGGTGGGAGCCAGATTGCACGCGATCCATCAAGGGTAGGTGGGAGGTAAGGAAGCAGAGGCAGGAATGTGGCACTATTTCCAGTAAAGGAAGAGATGGGAGAGAACAGAGGCTGGAGGGAAGGCCAGGCCCAGGGGCCAGGATGGGGCTGGGTCCCTGTTCTGAGGAGGAAGTGCCGGGTGGAGGCGGGCCTGTGGCTGGATCAGGGCCCTGGGTGTGCCTGGCCTGCTCCTCGAAGCTGACATCCTCCCTGCCCTTGTCTGGACCCTCCTCCCACCTACTCCATGAAACCCCTCCATTCTACAGGGTCCGGATCAGAAGCCACCTCTGGTGAAGGCTTTCCTGGTCCCGCCTCACTGGGAGCGGTTCCTGCCCTCCGCTGTTAACTCCTGTGTTATACAGGGTCCCTCTGCCGTGTGGTACCAGCCCTGGGGCGTAATGATGTCATGACAGATGCCGCGTGTATTGTGCCAGACACTGCTGAACAGTCGGAGTGTGTTCTCTCACTTAACCCTCGTGACTGCCAGTGACCTGTAGGCGTTCTCTTAGAGTCCTAACCATGCCCAGGTCACACAGCTGATAAGCGGCTGTTTGTCTGCTTTCCTTTCCCCCGAATTGTGGGCTCCTAAGAGAAGGGTCTCTGACTTCTTTGGATCCCAGTGCCTCGGGCTCATTTATTCAACATTGATTGAGCACCTGCCGTGTGCTAGGACATAACAGTCAGTGTTGGAGAGCTAGACCTACGAACAGATAAAAGGAGGGTTCAGATTCAGCACCGTGAGATTTGTACAGAGGACCATCCGTGCTGTAGGGGCACGGGAGAGCACAACCATGCACGCCAGTGGTGACAATTGCAATGGGTCTTGAAGATGACATAGGAGTTTGCCAAGGGAATGGGCTGGAGACCATTCCAGTGTCGGCAGAGCGTACTGTTAGGGGACCGTGAGAAGCTCAGTCTGGCCGGAGAGAACTTGCAGTTGGTGCAGGGGAGGGATGTGAGGCAAGGCCAGAGGGGTGCGTTGGCACCGGCCTGTCTGGGACCTCTGCCCAGCCAAGGAGGCAGCAACGTCCAGTGAGGCAGCAGGATTCGATTTGCTTCCGGAAGCTCCCCCCTCAGCATCAGGGCCAGTGAGTTGAGGGGCAGGGGGCGGGGCAGGGGCACATTAGGAGGCTGTAGCAATGATCTGGGATCGATACCTGGGCCTGAAACAACACTGGGGGTGGGGGAAGGTGCCAGCCATCGCAGTCTGAGTTTAGTGATCTTGTGGCCTTTCCTTTGTGACTTGGGCTCAGTGCCCAGGACGTCAGTTGAGGTGCCTGCTCGGTGTCTGCCCCAAGATGGGATGGCCCGGGCCCTGTGCTTTCTCCTGCCAGCGCCCTGTCCATGCCACCCGAGCAGTCATCTGCTCTGCGGGTTTGCCCACCTCCTTCCTGCCACCCCTGCCTCCAGATGCTATATGCTTCCTTCCATTTTTTACTGTTGGAGTTAAATAGATAAATGCATTCATATAGTTCAAAACTCAAGACACATAAAAAGGTTTAAATTGAGCATTACGCCCCCTCTCACTACAGGTAACCACCTTTAAATCTCTTGTGTATCCTTCTGGAGTATCTTTAGGGGAATATAAACAAATGCAAACATGTCTTCTTACCCCTTTTCTTACACAAAAGGTAGCACCCAATACATTCCTTGTTTTCCTGCTAATGTATCTTAGAGATCTTTCTATCTCAAATATATCTATATCTAGATATTGATATCTGGGAATATTTTATAGATTTCTTTTTTTTTTAATTAATTATTTTTGGCTGCATTGGGTCTTCGTTGCTGCACGCGGCTCTAGTTGCATCGAGCGGGGGCTACTCTTTCTTGCGGTGCGCGGGCTTCTCTTGTTGCAGAGCACGGGCTGTAGGCGTGTGGGCTTCAGTAGTTGTGGCTCGCAGGCTCTAGAGCGCAGGCTCAGTAGTTGTGGCGCATGGGCTTAGTTGCTCCGCGGCATGTGGGACCAGAGACCAGGGCTCGAACCCGTGTCCCCTGCATTGGCAGGCGGATACTTTTTTTTTTCTTAAATTTTTTTACTTTTATTTATTTTTTGGCTGCGTTGGGTCTTTGTTGCTGTGAGTGGGCTTTCTCTTGTGGTGAGCAGGGACTACTCTTCGTTGCGGTGCGCGGGCTTCTTATTGTGGTGGCTTGTCTCGTTGCAAAGCACGGGCTCCAGCTGCGTGGGTTTCAGTAGTTGCAGCATATGGGCTCAGTAGTTGTGGCACATGGGCCCTAGAGTGCAGGCTCAGTAGTTGTGGCTCACGGGCTTAGTTGCTTCATGGCATGTGGGATCTTCCTGGACCACTGTGCCACCAGGGAAGTCCTTAGATTTATTTCTGAATCTGTATCTATATCAGATATTTCTCTGTCATTCTGTTAAACAGCTGGATGTATTCCATCATGTGGCACACTCTAATTTGCTTAGCCATCTCCACTTGATGGATACCTGGCTTGTTTCTAATCTTTCATGACTATAGGTACTGCTATGGTGAAGCTTGTAAATTTGTTATTTTGTACATGTGTAAGATAAATTCTCGTGAAGTGTAAAAATTGGCTTGAGGGGCAAACACCTTTCTAACTTTGGTCGACGCAGCCAAACCATTCCTAAGGGTTTACCAGTTCCCACCTGTCAGATTTATTACACCGCCTGTTTCTCCACAGACTTACCAAAAGTGTGCTGTGTATTTGGGGTGTATTTTTGCCGTTCCGATAGGTTAGAAGTGATGTCTCGGTGGAGTTCTAATTTGCATTCTCCATAATTCTGAGTGAGGCTGAACACTGACCATGTCTTCCGGGCTCCCTGCTGGGCTCTGTTTTGGAGTCCTGGGAATCACTCCATTTCCCACGTGAGGACGCTCCACGTCCACGAGCCTGGCCCTTATTCCTTTGCAGACAAGCATGAGACGAAGCTGAAAGGGGTCATCTATTTCCAGGCCATCGAGGAAGTGTACTATGACCACCTGCGCAGTGCAGCCAAGGTGAGGGGCAGAGGGACAGCCCTGGGGAAGGGGTGGGCCCAGCAGGGCTCTGTGAGCAAAGACCTCCAGCCTGCCCTCTTCAGAGGCTCGGAGCCATCTCTTGTTCTCTTTCTAAACTTTCTCTTCCTCTCTCCCTCTCCCTTCCCCAGAAGAGGTTTCTCAGCTTCACTATGGTGTCTGAGGTACCCCTCCCCATATACCTGTAACCAGAACTACTGCATATTAATGCCTCCTGTACCCTTCTCGCCCCTGACCCTTGACTCTCCCCTAAGTACCCCCCCTTCCCCCAGGCCTGAGGGGGGAGCCAGGTGGGTTGCAGAGAGCAGGAAGCCCCTGTGGGCGTGAGTACGCTTGCTTGCCTCCCAATCCTGAGATGACGGTAGGATGTGTCCCCCGTGGGGGTGGGCAGTGCAGAAGGGATGGCTACAAGGGGAGTAGGGGGCCCTCAGAGTCTAGATCTGGTCAAGAGGATTGGTAAACAGGAGACGTTTGAGGCTGGGACCATCTGCCTTCATGCAGGTCAGCCTCCCTCCCGCCAAGCCTCAGATGCCCACTCTATCCCTGATCTTCTGCCCTTCTGGGGTCCTGGGGCCCAGCATCCCACTTGTAGCTTTTTCCGTCTGTTCCTCTTTTGCTAAGAAGAGACTCTGGTCCTCACTGGAACAGCCCTTTGAGACTGAGTCTTTCCCTTTTGTGCCTGCGGGTACCAAGGAGCAGGGCCCCCGCCTGGCAGCATCTGTCCCTGCCAGGGTCCAAGGACTGCCCAGCTGAGAGGAGGGGACTGTCTCAGCTTGGGGCCCACCTGGTGGTGGGGATTGGGCTCTGGGCCTATTAAGGACTCAGCCTCGAGCTCCAGGGCGTCCTGGAGCCAGAGAGAGGAAGGGCAGACGGCGAGGCAGATGCAAGATGCTCCTGGCCTTTGGGGGTGGGCCCTGGCTTAGACCTTCCTCTCTCCCTCGGCAGAGCCCAAACCCGGCCCTCACCTTCTGTGTGAAGACCCACGACCGGCTGTACTACATGGTGGCCCCATCCGCAGAGGCCATGCGCATCTGGATGGATGTCATCGTCACCGGGGCGGAGGGCTACACCCAGTTCATGAACTGACCGAATGGGCCTCGTGGACCCTCAGGCCGGCCCAGGACCCAGGCCCAACTGCCTGCTGCTCCACTCGCCCCTGGAGACAGTCACGCCCTGGGCCTCAGGCCTCACACAAGTGCTCCCAGAGGCCCTGGAGGGCGGAGCACGACTGGGGTTTTGTACAAGAAGTGACTTTGTAATGTTCTGTAAGGAGCTCGTCCTGTGAGTTTCTGAGCTCCAGCCCCCTAAAGAACCAGCCAGGAGATAAAAGTTGGGGAGGGGGCTTTGCTGCCTCCTGGGAGCCCAGAACTTGCAATAACCCTTCAGGGTCCTGCCCCAGGCCCAGCCAGGCTGAGGAGCTGTCACAGAGGGGCCCCTCCGCTCTGACCTGGCACCTGTGCTCCCCAGCCTATGTTCTCTTTTGTAAAGGACTAATTATGGTACCAGAAGCTGCCAAAGATCCCCTCTTGCCTCAGCCCCCTTTGCAGGGGCCTTGGGGGCTGAGCAGAGCCACATTCAGAGTGGGGTAACAGCTCAGGCGGTGTACTTCTCAAACCCCGCTCTACCCCATTGTTGTCCTGCGTTTATATTTTTTATTACTTTGCTGAAGGGCCAGAGACCGGAAGTGTCATCCTTGAGGTCCCAGCTCTATCACCTTTTTACAGACCCATCACCATGGTCACCACAGTGATGGCTTCATCGCCATGGTTACATACTAATTGCCGTGGCTCCGTGGCTCAGCCCACTGCTTCAGCGGTGGGCCTGTCTGCGGGTATGTGCCATCATCTCTCCAGCCCAGGCCCTTGGGCATCTCCTGCTGGGGGGAAGGGACTGAACACCTTCTCCCTGCCCCCTGCCTGCGTCTCCAGGCCCTGATACACAGCCTGCTGGCTCCCCTGTCCAGCCCTCCCCCTTCCACTCGTGCCTTGCCTAGAGCCAGAAGGGGTGAAGCTGGGAACTATAGACCAGAGGAGGAGCCATTGGATGGGAGAAGAAGCTAGAAAGCTGTCTTTGGGGTTCTGTTATAGGGCTGAGTTTCTGACAGAGGGTTGTTCAGATTCTCCCTGATGGAAGTCCTGAGCAGGAGAGGAAGCAGCAGAGGGGGGTGCCCTGAGGTCTGGTTGCCCTCCCTGCAGCCTCAGAAGGGGGATGAAATGGAGAGCAGAGGACCAGGCCTCCAGCTGTCTGTGCTCAGCCCTTTCCGCCTTAACACTAAGCCCACCTTCCTGTCCCCTTTCCCAGCCCTGGGCCATGGTTGCTGGGTCCAGGCTGGATGTTTTTCAGTATTTGTAAGCATCTCAGCAGAACAATAAAGCATTTGGACTATGTCTTTGGGAGGCCTGGTGGTGGGGGACATGGGGTTGGGATACGTGGGTTAGGAAAGCTAGGTCTCCCCACAATGCAGCATTTCCACCTTATTAGATGTTCCAGGGACCCAGGGCCCAACCGTGACCTCCAGGTCCCTACCCTGCCTCCACTCCACTATGACCAAGGACCGGCCTGGGGGTGGGGGGTGGGCTCTCCAGGGATAAAGGATCAAGAGGCAGGAGAACGCAGGGACTCATGTGGAGGTTTAATTGGCAGGAGCTGGAGCCAGATGAGGGAGTGAAGGCCCGTCCCTGAGGCAGGAGGCTAAGCAGAAGGGCAGCTGCAAGGCAGTGGGGCTCCAGGAAAGCTGTGTAGGTCCCCGAGCTCAGCCGGTCACCATAGCGGTCCAGGAGCATCAGGACCACACCACTGGTCCAGCCAAACCCCTCCTGGAGAGAGGTAAGGTCAGTGGGGCAAGATCTCTGGGGAAGGCCCCCAAGTCCTTTTATGGGGTATATGGGTCCCCACCTAGAGGCTCTGGCCCTGCATAGCCCCAGGGGTACCAGGGAGCACCAGTCAGGCCCTTCCCTGGGACCCACCTCCATGGAAAAAACAGGTCCGGAGAGGGGAGGTCATGGTCAGTTGCAGGGATGGCAGAGCCCCGAAGTTCCCTGGAGGCTGTGGCCCACTCACCTGAACTTCATACTCCCCTCCACCACCTGGTTGTCCACCGTTGCTGACATCATACTGGGGACAAGAGGACGGGCTCTAAGGTCAGGCCCTACCCCAGCCCCGCAACGCCAGACCTCTAGGGAAGCCAGAAATGGGATCCCCTTGGGGAGAAGCTGCTCTGGCCCGCAGCTCTGACCCCTGCGGTGCCCAAGAATGGCCACCAGGTGCCGCCACTGTCCCCAGCTGTGGGGGCTTGGGCTTTGCACAGCCTGACGATTCCTCCATCTCACCGTGGGGAGGAGGACCTCGAGGGACCGGGCTCAGGGGCAGCTCACCTTCTCATACATGGCTGACTTTTTGGAGTAGATGTCACAGTTGGTTCGGATGCAATTCTGGGCCAGCTGGAAAGCTACTTCCTGGGCTCTGGCTGAAGGAGACTTGGCCAGACCTGGACCCCACCCCAGGTAGGACCCTGAATCTCCAGAGCCCCCATCCCAGGGGGAGCAGAGGCCTGAGCCTTATTCTCGTCAAGGAGGGAAAGAGGCCCCGGGTGCTAAGACCTCCCTCCTGGAGCCGGGGGCCAACCTGCTCCCATCCAGGCCTGAGTGTGGAGAGAGGAGGGCCGATTCCCCTGACAGGTGGAGGTAGGTGTAAGTGTTTGCTGAGTGAGAGGCGGAGAGAGCAGAGGAGCCAGAGAAGGGCCTCTGCCTCATTTGTTCACGCCTCCCCAGAACCAGGCAGGCGGACCCTCTACCTCCGTGGGCTGAGGCCCTGGGAGAGGCCCCATCCCTGCCTCCTCACCTCTGATGAGCACGTCCTGCAGGGGGCCCAGGCATTGGAGAAGTCCCACTGCTGGCCTGTCTTCTGGTAGGTGAGGATCTTCCTAGAAGGTTCCAGACATTACCATGAGTGTAGGTGGGGGCTGGACAGGGAGCCAAGAGGCTGGGCCCTCCTGAAGCCAGATGTCCCCTTTGGGGGCCTTCTCTCCTTGGCTCACAGCTGCCCCCTGGTGGCAGAAGTGGGACCCTCAGGCTAAGGCCCTGGGCGGAGTGGGGTGTGGCTGCCACTTGCCAGAGGTCACAGGTCAGAGTCAGGGAGTGACAGGTGGCCCTGCCCCCAGTGTAGCAGCCCGCCCTGCTGCCCCCTCGCCTCCAGGTATTTCAGAGCCTTGTCCACGTTGCCCGGGTCACGGCCCGAGAGGAGTGTGGTAAATGGGGTAAACTTCCAGATCTTTTACGCTGAAGGCCATACTTGACCAGCCCCTTCCTCCTTGTCTCACAGGCAAGCCTTCAGCGCGGCCTAGCTTGGTTTCTGCAAATTTTAGTATCTCACAGCTTGGGAGTCATTCTCCCAGGGGGCACTGGGTTTAGGAGTAACCAGAACCCCTACTCGGGCCCTACAGGACTCTCTAGAAAGAACTGAGGGGGAGGACGGAAACATCTACTTCTAACTCCTCACCTTCTGCCCTCCCCAGCCTCCCCCAGGCAAACCGAGCCTGTCCTCCACCCCCAGGCTGCCCCGTCCTGCCCTTTACACCACATGGTGACTGTTCACTCCCCTGCGGGACTCCCTGGTCCCTGAGCTCCTCTGGTGAGGCCTCTGCTCAGGAATGATAATTGCTACTGCTGATCCTGGCCCAGCGCTGTGCTCAGCACCCTCTATCACGCACTTTCTCTCCTTTGCCTGAGGCTCAGAGAGGGCAGCAGTTTGCCCCCAGCTGCACAGCACCTGTCCTCCAGCCTGACCCCAGGGCCCTGGCACCCACTGGCACAGGGCAGTGCTCCAGGGTCGTGTGCCAGCTTGGGCCACTTCCTCACCAGCCCCTCACCCAGTGGGAGCAAACCCGAGCCCCTTCCGCTCCTCCCCGCCAAATCCCTGATGGGCTGACTCTCTCCCACTAAAGCCACCTCACGGGTGTAGAACTGGGAGAGGATGGACAGAGAAAACACCTGATGTGGACACAGCAAGCCCCACTCCGGTCCTACTGTGCTCTCCCTTGGCCATGTCCGTCCACATCCGCCTCACTGGGAAAAGGTACTGGGATTTCATCCACACCTGGGCCAGAATTGGGGGGCCCTGATCCTCTGGGCCTGGCTTCACAGTGGCAGCCGAGATTCGGGGGGCACTGGGAGACGGAGGAAATGGTCCCCCCCAGCTAGGCACTGGGCTGAGCGGTCCAGGCTCCTGCACACCGTCGTGCTCTTGCTGGGATGCCAGAGGCCAGCATGTGGGGCCCAGCAGACCAGACTCCCCATGGCCCAGACCTTGACCAAGGCCACACAGCTGAGCAGCCCCAGAGCCAGAACCCAAGCCCGGGCTGCCTGGCTCCAAAGCCCACGGCTGCCAGGGCCTCCAGCTTCCCAGCCTCCTCCAGCCCCCACTCCACATGAGTCCCAGGCTCCCTGTGCCCTCTCCCCTGATTCCAGGTGAGGCCAGAGGTCCTCAGCCACCCTGAGCATTTCTCTCTGATCTACTCAAGACACCCCTTCGTTGTGCCCGGTGGGCGCTTTGTTGAGTTCTACTACTGGGGAGCGGCCAGGGGCTTCGGGGCAGGGAGCAGGGCGTGCGCGGGGGGAGCCCGGGGCCCGCGGGGCGTCCTGCGTGGGGTGGTGTGATGCCTGAGCTATCCTTCTCCCAGGGACTCCTACTGGCTGATGGAGGGTCTGTTCCTCTCTGAGACGCCCCAGATGCTGAAGGGCATGCTGCAGAACCACCTTCCTACAGTGGGCACCCCTCCCCGTGCTGCCCTGCATCCTCGTTCCTGAGACCTCCCAGGTCGGGGCTTGGGAAGGGTGCCTGGGGGGGAGGTGGTGCTTGGCTCCACCCCGGGGACAACATTGAGACCCTGGCCTTGGAGTTGGACTTTTGGACTAAGAACAGGAACATCTCTGTGAGCTCCAGGGGAAAGAGCTACGTCCTGCATTGATATATCCTTTACAGGGGACCCAGGTGAGGGTGTGCCCGGCCAGCCTCTCAATCTCTTGTGTGTTTGCTCTGATGGGGAGTGTCAGGACTCCCCAGGGCAGGAGGGTCCCACCTCTCAGTTAGTGATCTGATAGCTCTGGGCAGTCCAGCGCTGTGGGCCCCAGGGCAGCTGAGCCAGCGTGGCTCGGCCTCCTGCTTGGTCACGGCAGGCCTAGAGCCTCTCAGTGCCAGGCCCCCTCTCGTCCTCTTGCCAAGAGTGCCAGTGATGTAGCCCCACCTCTCAGATGGTGATCCTGAGGGCATGGGGGCCTGTGTTCCCAGGAAAGGGGTGCCAATCTGTGCTCCGGGGGCTGTGTCGTATCGGCCAGGGTGCCCCGTCATGCACCTGCCTCTCCTACTGGTCCAGGCCCTGTTTTGGGCCATCCCTGGGGCAGGAGACACCCCAGAGGGCCAAGGGAACAGGGAGAACACCACTGAGGTTGGGGATGGGGGCTGCTATGAGGGGAGATGTGGGGAGCTCTGTCCCGGCAGCAGGAGAGGAGGGGCCCGCAGCGGGAGGGCAGACCCTGTGGCACTTGCTCCCTTGCAGCTTGGCCACCAGCCTGCGTACCACAGCACTGTCCCTTCCTCCCAGGCAGGCCCAGCTCCCTGGCCAGGCCTGGAGCAAGACAAGAGAGCCTCAAGTCCCCTCCCACCACCCTGCTCAAACCACAGCCACCTGGAGATCAAAAACACCTCTTTTTTAAAATCCTCAGTTGCCTGAAAGATGTACATGGCTGGGCCTGGGGCTGAGACTCGAGGGCTGCCTGCACACATATGGTGGGGGGACTTCTGAGCACCCACTCTCAGACTTTGCACATTTCTGCACATGACAGCAGTTTTTGCAGAAAGGGCGTAGAGGATGCATCTGGGCCAGGCACCAGCCTGCGGCAGCTACCTGTAGCCACGTCTGCCCACCCAGGATGCCCAACCTCTTGTTCTCACCTCACCCACTGTGGTGGCTTCCTCTCCCCGTGAGAACATGGGTTTCCACCACACCCAGGAGACTGGGCATCTCCCTGCCCGGCCAGGAGTTCCAGGGCCACAGCCCAGGATCAGCAAAATTCACAGGCTCCCAGGTGACCTCAACTCAAGTCACACACCCTTTCTCCCATCCAGACCCTGTAATTAATGGCGTTTAGCAATGTTTGTAAATCTCCATGAGAGAGGATTTCAATCAGAACTGGGTCCCAGGAGCCCCTGATGGAGGCCATTAGAGGCCGTGGCCTCCTGGGCAGCTCCCCCTGCCATTCCAGGTAATCTGTATATCAATTGAAGGCTTTGCAGGCTGTTAGGGGTTGCAAACTCAAATTCCAGGACGCAATTGTGGGACATAGTTGAGAATAAGGAAACTAACCATGCAAGGGGGAAGATGCTTGGTGGGATCTGGGGTGACTGGGAAGCACATTCTTGTGTAACTGGGGTCTCCGCTGCGGAAGCTGGCTGATGTAAGGGAATGTGGGGTCCATGTTTGCTAGATCTTCCAACTTTTCAATGTAGGCAGAGATCCATATTTTTACGTGAAGTATCCCAATTGTTAAGTGTCTCAATGTCCCAAATTCTGAATGTACATCTAGGAGTGATGCCTGTGTATGAGTGGGGAGTGGGGAGGAGGAGACCTGACCCCACTGCAGAGCCCCCTTCTCCCCACAGTGTCCAGCGCCCCACCCTTGAATGAGCCCTCAGCCTGGGTGCTGACTCCTAGTCACGTTGTGCCCTTTACAGTGAGATACTCTGTACATATTGAGATCCTTAATATGTAAAGATCTCTTACAAATCAAAAAGGAAAAATCATATTGTCTTGCTTGGGAAAACTCTACAGGCTAACTATGGATGGTCGATAAATATAATGCTCTGTTCGTTCTTTTTCTGGATCTGGATTGCGCCTCAGCCCACAAGGACACAGCTCCCCCTGCCTCAGGGTGTCTGTGCCCCAACTTTCTTCGATGTTCTCACCCAAGTCTCACCACTTAGCTTGTCTGCCTAGTCTTTCTTAGCACATTTACAAGCAGATGTGTCACTGGTGGGAAAAGTATTCAATAATACTTTAAAATATTTATTCAGCTTTGGTTTCATGGTGAAGCTGTGAAATCAGCTGTGTGGGGAAAGGACTGAGAGGGGGACCCCGAGAGGCAGCCCAGCCTTCTCTTAGTCCTCAGTAAGTCAGCTCTGGCCTGCACTTACACCCTCGGTAAAAGACCTGCTGGACCCCCCATCCTTAGAAGGTAGCTGGAGGGGATGGGGCTGAGTGGAAGGAGGAGGGGTCTCCTTGCCCTGACCCAAAGTATTTCTTTGAGGAAGAACTACTGGTTTCCTTCTCAGTGTCTATTCTCAGGGTAGCAATGTGACCAGCTTTTTTATTTTTTATTTTTATTTATTTATTTATTTATTTTGCAGTACATGGGCCTCTCACTGTTGTGGCCTCTCCCGTTGTGGAGCACAGGCTCCAGACGCGCAGGCTCAGCGGCCATGGCTCACGGGCCCAGCCGCTCCGCGGCCTGTGGGATCTTCCCAGACCGGGGCACAAACCCGTGTCCCCTGCATCGGCAGGCGGACTCTCAACCACTGCGCCACCAGGGAAGCCCATGACCAGCTTTTTAAAAAGGTTGATTTCCCAGGCTCCCCTGCAGTCAGGGTTAGCTGGGGACCCAGTTCTGACACCTATAAGTGAAAGCCACTGGAAGAGGCTCCTGGGAAAACTCCTTAGGAGGGGGAGGACTCAGCCGGCTTTGCTCTTGGCCCTTTGCCCTTCCCCCTCCTTCTTGCCTTGAGCACAGATGAAGTGCTTGGATCTGCAGAAGCCACCTTGCAACCACAAAGCAATGAACCCAAGGCTGAAAACCACAGGCTTAAGATGGCAGAGCAGAAAGAGAGACTGGCCCCTCGATGGTACCGTGAGTCACACAGCCCTGGGCTCCCCTTTTATGAGAAAAACAAACCCCTTAGTTGTTTAAGCCACTGGTGTTCAGATTTCTGTCCCTTTTGGGTGAATGGAGCCTCTGGCAGGTCCTTCTTCTGAGGCCTTCTGGTCAGTACCTTTTCCTTCATTCCCAGCACAGTGTCCTAATGTCCCAGCAATGTTGCAGTGATCCTGGCCTAACCTCAGTCCGGCTCTGGGTGTCAGAGGCAGATCGATCCATCTATCTGGATCAGGTGCCTGGCCCACCTTCCTCACAGCTTTGGAAACCAACTCCAGAGCCCCAGAGTGCTCATCACCCCTTGTGCCAACAGCTCCTGGCACCGTCACGGGCAGCGAAGCCAGGACGGTGAGTGACTGTAGATGGAAGGTGACATTTGCAGCTCCTGGGGTGCTGGTGACGTTCTATTTCATGATCCATTACAAGGTGTTTGCTCTACAATGATCTGTTCAACTGTCATACATATTTTATGGACGTTCCTGTGTTGCACCCTAGTTCATTATAAAATCATCTGAAGTTTCCGGAGTCCATCAGCCTGCTTGGTTTGGCTCATTTGGACAGGAGGGGAGGCCAGACGGCCGCAGCAGCCTGACGAGCCAGAGCATGATGCCACCTGCGACGGGCAGGGCAGGGGGGGGCAGGCCCCGTGCCGTCCATGGAATCTAACATGAGCCATTCATTCTCTTAGAATAGCTGCACACCTGCAGATCAGCAGTTTCTATTGTGGTGAGAAGTTAAAAAAACAAATGAAAGGGCAGGCGAGGAGCATGCTCTCCTCTAACATGCTGCACTGAGTCGCCTGCCACTGTCTGTCACGGCCCACGCACCTTCCTCAGTCAGTACTGCTCATACGTGTGGGGCCTCGGGGCTCGGGCCAGAGCCCCAAGCCTGTGACTTGCAGCCCCGCTCAGCTCCCAGGCCCGCGGGTCCATGCCTGCCTCTGGGGGCAGTCTCGGTCGTACACGGTCCCCGCGAGTACAGGCAAGTCAGGCGATCACTTTGAGCCCCAGTGTCCTCACTTGTGAAGTTGGGGCTATTATCTCTCCTGGAGGCTTGTTGTAAGAATTAGACGTGGCGTGTTTCAAGGTACACAGAGAGTCAGCTAAGGGCAGTGGCTGCTTTGTTAGTGGGTAGAGACGCGCTGGTTGAGTCCATTCCAGCAGCTGAGGGGCTGGAGCAGGACGGTTCCCTCCGCCTCACGCCACTTGGATGACAGCGTCCCCGAGGTCTTGGTTAAGGTACCGTCAGGCCTCCCTGGGAGGACCTCCTTGTCAGCCACTCACCACGAGGCTGTCCTTCCAGACCCTCCTGCTCTGAGATTTGTGTCTTGTATGACACAAATCTGCAGCTGGAGGGAGGGTAGCAGACGCCCAGCTGAGCCTTATTCCAAGAATAACTGGTGGTCTGACAAGCAAAGACCGACCTCCAGGCAACAGAAGAGGACTGTCCTGGGGGCCTCGCCACAGTCTGGGTGGAGTGAAGCGGGGCGAGAGAGGCTGCTGAGAGCCAGCCACCCACAGCAGCCTGCAGCTCAGCACGGGGCAGTGGAGACCCGGGACTGGAAAGCTTCCAGATTCCCTACAGAAGGCCACCTGCAACACCCACAGTCCAGGTGCATGGCTTGTTAATAGCTCCATTCCTCAGACCATCTCTCTGCCCCTCCACTCCTGGGGTTTTCTGCAA